TTGATAAGACTTTCAGACTCTCTCTCAGACGGCTGCTTGCGTTGTGGCCGAAACGTCGTAAGAATTATTTTATTATGTTTTATTATTTATTATTTCCATTCTACGTGACTTTACTGAAAGAACCAAGAAAATGCAAAAGCATTATTTTAATCATATATGTGGTGGTGGTGGGGGGGGAGGGGTATGAAACTCCACCAAACAGATTGGCGTTCGAGTGCCCCCACCCCCCCTATTGATAGTGGCGTCACATAATCCCTAATCCAAATTGAAGTGCACCTTCTCCCCAGTAAGTCAAGCTGTCCAGGATTTAGACGATAATTCAGAAGGACGGCTGCGGTGCTACGGCAGTTCCAGTGGCCGCTCGCCCTGGAGCCAGCGCGTGGCGCTAATGGTTGACGATGCCCGTGGATGATTGGCGGGTCGTGCTTGTGAGGGATAGTCATGCCTGGTGGGCTTCCCCTGGTTTTGGCTGAGCCGTTCTGACGCGTTGTCACCCGTGCTGAGAGGCGGCGGGGTGGGGGCGTGCACGAATGCCCCCACCACAGGCACGCGCTCTTGCCTGCAACACCAGACGGCACTCTCAATCACGCCTGCAGCCCTCGGTGATTACAGACTGAGCCTAATACAGTGGGTAATGTATTAAGTCGGGGAATATGTGGCGTTATTCAACGTTCAGCAAACCAACGCAACGCTAAAACTCAAGTACCGTCGGTAGAATTTGCGGACATCCACCAACGCAGTGCTCCCACGCTCGTGAAAGGCAACAGAGGCAGAGGACGACCGAGACAAAGACAGGTTCATGGAGTGGAGAAGGCACGATAATGGAGAGGATTGACATGTAAACTGCTGTAACTGACGGTATATGATGATGATGGTGGTGGTGATGATGAAAAGCGCCAATAGTGGAGGACTGCTGTCAGATGTTTCTGGAGCCAGTGGCCTCCGTAAAGTTGTTGGACGGGAAAAAAAGAGTTACAAAGCGTATTTGATCGAAAAACTATACGAAGGGCTTGAAAAAAAAGCTATTTGAGGAGCTCTTGGCTTATGCTTGAGCTGGCAGTCGGTGGTCCCGTGGGGGCCGGGGTGCATATTCTGTTTCCATTTTTGTTCGTGCGCAGTGCGGGCGGGTGTGGCATGATCAGCTGTTGTCACTTTAAACCAAGGGTGAGGAACCCTTTCCTTATTGAGGACTGAATAGGACTTTCAAATACCTTTGGCAGGCAACTGCATTAACACACACACACACTCCCCAATTATGTGACTGAAAAAAAGGCCCTTGCAATAAAATGATGTGTCGTGCGCACGTTAAAATTAGAAGCACAGTGTTGCCAGGTCAAATATATTGCACACCAGTACCCGATTAGTGTGGCTAAGATACACGTGGCGGACATTACTTGCAGGCATTTTCAATGCGGTAGGCCTCGTGGCCACAGACCGGAGGTTCCCCAAGCCTGATTTAAAACCATGTGGAAATTAATTTCATTCCAGTCTCGCAATATCAGTCACCATATAGCCATTCAACCCTGGATTAGTGGCGGTCACATCGCATGGCCGGTAGCACGCTCGCCAATTGTTGCAGAATCTCACGGTCCCAATCCAGCCTGCGGCGTGGATACCGTTAAGGAGAAATTTTGCCTGCGCAGGGATCCATATTCTTGGTTCTTTCGGTAAAGTCACGTAGAAGGGAAATAATAAAATGATAAAAATAAAACAAAAACATTCTCACGACGTTTCGATTGCAACACAAGCAATCATCATCAGGTGTGAAAACCACAGCAATACACTTTTGAAAAAAGTGGCGTGGTTTTCACACCTCGTGATGATTGCTTGTGTTGCAATCGAAACGTCGTGAGAATTTTATTGTTTTATTTTTATTATTCTATTATTTCCCTTCTACGTGACTTTACCGAAAGAACCAAGAATATGAATCCCTGCAGTCACGAAAGCTTTAAATGAGCAGGGATCGTTTGCGTCAATGTTGCAGTGACGAAAAACACAAGAATGTACAACGGTAAGCACGTGCCTTGGTAACGTATTATTTGGGCCTCCTCTTCAGGCAAGACACACATTGAGGACCCATTGCCTCTTCCTTCCTCTTGGCTCTGCGCCTTTCATTTTTAAGCCCCACCGCATCTCGTACAATGGTGCGGTGGTGGTTGCAGATGCGCGTAGGGGTCGTGAATTCAATGTGCGCAGCAGTCAGCCAGTAGGGAGAGCTGGGCTGCGACAGGAGATGCTCCCTAACAGCAATTGCCACTACAATCTGTTAAAGGCTACACGGAGGATCTTTGTCTTTGTATGGTGGCTTGACAACGACCAAAATCGTGGAGCAAAATAATATAGAAATATATGTTTTCCTTTCAATATAAAAATATCAGATTTTTCACAACCCAGCGGCCTCACGGCCTTTCGGGAGTGTATTACAAAGGATCGTCTGGTTCACTATGAGACCTCCTTTACCAGTGGCAAAATATAGTAGTAGGTTTTTACCCTTTAAACTAATAAAGGTGTCAGTTTTTGTACCAGTTTAAAGGGTAAAAACCTACTACTATATTTTGCCACTGGAAAAGGAGGTCTCATAGTGTATATGCTTTCCCCGAGCTCTCAATACTCTGGTAGTGCGCTGTTTTTGAGTTGTACGCCTTTTGGCGTCATCTGGTCCAACACCAATGGAGACTAGGCTCTAAGAAAAGCTGTCTCGGGTGTGGACCAATCAACTTCAAGGACAGTGCATATCATTATCAGAGTTGTTTTCTTTTTGTTTGCATTTTGACTGCTTGTGTTGTGGTTATTGCAAACATGATGCCTTGTATAAAGGTGTCAGTTTTTGTACCAGTTGAAAGGGTAAAAACCTATTACTACGACCGTCTGGTTGTGATTTTTTTATTTTCCATGTACTCCCACAAGACCGTGGGGCCGTTGGTTTTTGTACGTTTTTATGTGGAGAGACAAATATATGATGGAGAAATTGCTTAAATTGTTTAGTTGATGAATTTTGTTACTTTCTCCACAACAACGCTCATGATCATTGTTGTTATGTATAGTCCAAGGGGCCATATTAGAAATTGGTCACTGCCTAAGGCGCCGTCCATAAATGACGTCACGCACCTAGGGGGGGGGGTCAGACATTTGTGACGATGTGTGACGAGGGGGCGGGGGTGAGAAATGTGACGTCACATCAAAATACGCAACTTTAAATAAATATAGACAACACGTTCTACTTAATTAAATATACTTTTTAATAAATGTTTTCTCCTACAACATCAGAGTGCAGCGCCACATTAAATACGCACTACAATGACAATAGTTTAAAGCGATTTGAAGTATGTTTTTGGGGGGGGGGGGGCAGAGCTTTGTGACGTCATATTTGAGGGGGGGTCTGACTTTTTGTGATACCGTGTGACGAGGGGGGGGGTCAAAAATCGTCCAAAATCGCGTGACGTCATTTATGGACGGCCCCGAAGGTAGCAACCAACTTTGTAAGTACCGATGTATTTTTATGGCTGAGTAAATATGTTTATCACATAAAAAATCATTGTCACGTGCCAACCATTTGAAAAGGAGCAATTTGACGTCCCACTTGTTTCCGATGTTTTACCACGTAATTAATTGTCTGTGGCCACATCGAGAAATCGAAACCACTCCCAAGTTGTGCCACCACGGGTGGAGACGACGAGCGAAATATCAGTTTCAGTTGCATTTATTTGGTATAGCCCTGTGAGCCATTCGGCTCTCGAATCGGGTGCAACCGCAACAAACAAAAACATGAACAAGAAAACATCTTAAAGTATGCGCAAACAGAAAAATCCAGGAAAAAACAGAAAAAATCTTACAGAAAAAGCACCATACACCAACGCTGTGTGCAAAAATCCCAGTGGGATGCAAGTCAAACAACAACAACAACAACCAGAAAACAACTTAGATTAAGCCATCAGTCTAACTCCGTACTACAACAAACAAACATGGCCAAACCAAAAACAGTTTTAGAAATCACCAAAATAAAGCTATAAAAGCAATGTAACAGTGATCATAGGAACTATGACCGAATTTTCACAATAAACGACATAAACATGTACCACCAACACCCTGCAGCCATAGCTGGCTGCATGAGTCACTCCACAACAGCAGGAGCATCAGTAGGAGTTTAACACGTAGCAGGCTTTCGCGACCAATATTATTCATAATCAATGTTTTTGGGTTTAGATCGCGTTATTTATAAATGTGTCGTAACTCTCCACCACCCGACACGGCCAATCAGTAAAAAAAAGTGTCACGTTGACAAAGGACAAATAGTTCACTGCTTTAGCCCACCGGTGTGTTGAAGCGTGAAACCACAACATTTCCAATTTTTGAGTAGTACGACGTTTCGCTGGTAATTGCATCCAGCATCATCGGGCAATTCGCCCGATGATGCTGGATGCAAAAATTGTAAATGTTGTGGTTTCACGCTTCAACACACCGGTGGGCTAAAGCAGTGAGCTATTTGTCTTTTGTCAACGTGACACTTTTTTTGCTGATTGACCGTGTCGGGTGGTGGGAGGGTTACGACACATTTATAAATAACGCGATCTAACCCAAAAACGTTGATTATGAATCAATAGAAGTATCAACATTTTTCAAATCAAAACACAAGATCATTATTTGCAGCGGTCATCCGGAGCGACACATTTGATTCCAGGCCACTAATCGAGTCTGCAGGGCTCAATGTGACTCAGTGGGGGGCCTGTGTTTGGCCATGAATTCCTCCGCCATGGACACCTCAAGCCAACAGAGGGCGAGCGAGAGAGATGGGGTGGGTGAGAGAGAGAGACCGGCGTTTGTCACGGACATCAACAATAACAGCTCTAGTGCCACATCGCTGCGCAGTGGACACGGGGCGTACTCGCATCTCCCCAGCTCGTGCTGGTTAGTGGTGGTGCTGGTGGTGGCTCTGTGGGTTGTTATTCATTGCGGCTGCCATGGTAGTCGGGGGCGGGGACTGGCAAGCGAGTGACGTGAGACGGGAGATGATGAGGAGGAGGGGAGTGGAGTGGAGACCACGGGGAGACTTTGCCGAGGTCACGGCTACAGCAGCGACTGCAGCAGCAGCAACAGGAGGGACTACAGCTTTGGCAGCAGCAGGAGTAACATCGCCACCATCATCATCAGCAGCAGCAGTGAGTCCCGGGTATCAATCTCCCCGTCTCTCTCCCTCTCTCTCGCTTCTTCCCAAGCTGTGAGTTGCATGGAATCCCCGTCAGAGCAAAGCAAGCCATCGGAGGGGAGGCTGTGGAGTTTTGGGTTTTGTTTAAAGGGAGCTTGGTGGAGTTGAAGGGGACACTGGGTTGGGGCGCGGGTTCTTACCTGAGTTGCTGGCAACTTACAACGATTTGAGACCGGAGCGAGATGTTACTGAAGGGCAACTTGGAGGGGCGATGTTGAGTTGGAGGTGGAGCTGTGTCTGTGTGTGTGTCTGTGTGTGTGTGTCTGTGTGTGTCTGTGGGGGGTTAACGGGGCACTGTGTCCACGCTTGTGGCGTTGCAGAGAGGTTAAGTTTGAAGGGAGGTTAGATGTGGTGGGGGGCAGTAAGGATGCTGGGCAGAGGGAGGTTCATACTTAATTTGGAGCTTTCGTGACTGCAGGAATTACTGAATTTTCTGTTGCACTTAGTCACATATTCACTTTAAGATGTTTTTTGTTCATGTTTTTGTTTTTTGTTTGTTGCGGTTGCACCCGATTCAAGAGCTGAATGGCTCACAGGGCTATACCTAATGAATGAACTTGAACTACTCTTTGGTTATTTCGGTGAAGTCACGTATAAATAGAAAATAATAAATTAAATACTAGCATACGACGTTTCGATTGCAACACAAGCAATCATAATCAGGTATAAATGAAATAGAAACACAAATCTAGTATACTTAGAAATGTAATGTAATACAACAGAGAGTCGGATAACATAACAGTCAACACTCTACCTGGTTGATTACGTTCTTCCTGAGAATGCTAAATTTGAGAGAGAGAGATAAAACACAGAACCAGAGACATATAGACAGACACGTAAGCAGAGACAGATATCACAGAGATACATAGAGAGAGAGACATACATAGGCACAGGTTGTGGAGTTGTGGAGTTGAAGGGAGCTGGGAAGATGGGATTCAGGGACGGGGAGCTGGAATGAGGGCATCTGGGATTAGGGGAGCTGAGGGGATGGAGGGACCTGGGATTAGAAGGGAGTTGAGTAAGGTCACAGAGCTGGCAGTTCAGAGTTGAATCCAAAGGGAGGTGGGTGGACAGCAGAGCTTGGCTTGTCGGGAGTGGAGATTTCATCGGATATAAAAACTTAACTTGCACTCACACGCCAAACTCAGCGGTCTCCTTTCACTAACGGTTGCGTAACGTGCATTTACTTAAGTGAAGTTTTCTCCGCGATTCGCACTGATTTTAATTGATTCGGGGGGCGATAATCCCTCGGGAAACTTTACGCAACCGAATACTGGGAGCCTCAAGCGAGCTGCTGGGATTGTGGCAAGCCGGGGGCAGATGTGGAGTTGAGACTTATTGGACGGGAGGAACTCTGTGGATCTGGAGCTTATAGAGGTCCTACTGAGAACGTGGCACGGCTGAGAAAAAAATACGGTCCTGAGAAATGTTGGCATTTACTTCTTTTGAGCAATCGATGCGTCGTTGCAGGATGGGCCCAGTGGTAACACCTGTGCCTCGCAACAAGAAGGACCTGGGTTCAATGCCTGCCTCGGGGCAGCTGTGTGGAGTTTGTCCGTTTCGTTCTGCATGGTTTTCCTCCCGATTCTACAGTTTACTCCCATAGCTGAAGACATAGAATGTAAGTTGGTGTTGGTGAAACATCCTATTGTAGAATTATCCTGAAACAGTCTTCAGACTAGGAGTGGCTTTCCCTGGTTATGAAGAATTATCCTGAAACAGTCTCCAGACTAGGAGTGGCTTTCCCTGGTTATGAAGAATTATCCTGAAACAGTCTCCAGACTAGGAGTGGCTTTCCCTGGTTAATCAGTTATTCTTATTAAGTTATTGTTAAACCGGGGTTTCCAAACGTTGCGAGTTGGTGGTCTCAGCCCATGCACCAATGACTGTTAACAACAACAACAAAAAACCCTCCATCACATTAAATGTGGGTGTTCATTTAATCTTATAAATCCCAGCTCTGGGATTAAAAACTAAACATATTCTGTTTGAATGCCAAACATTGGTCATGTCGCTGAGCATGCGAGAATCTCCGCCCCCTAGTGTGTGGATCAAACAAATTATATTTTAAGGGACATCAGAAATAGGTTCAAAGTGGACAACTTCTCTTGACATGACCGATCCTCGACGGTACAATTTTAACAGCGATGTCAAAAAATAGAAAAGGAAAACCAAGGTCACTGTAGCCTCGCTAGCTCCTGCCACCACCACGGCAAAGCGAGCACACACATACACACAGCCAAACTTTCCATGCGTGTATTGCAAGTGACGATAATGTGGGCAAAAACACACACACACAAAGAAATAAATATATATGGAAGGAACTCAACACGGCTATACCTCGTGACTTGCTTTTGTAAATTATGCCCGCACGTGCCCTTGTTATTGTGTATGGGGCTCAATATTTACTTGCAGGCACAGTGGAAGTTACAAGAAGCCAGTTGGGGGTTTGTTAGTGGACAGGATGGTCCAGATGTCTTGTGACCCCCCCCCCCCCCCCCATTTACTTCTCTGCAGCTTTATTTTTAAAGTAAGGTCTACTTAAAACAGAGATGAATGTGCAAAGGGAACAAAAAAATGTTAGGGGCCAATTAATGTGAAGGCACAAGACAATCTGGGCCACCCTCTGCAGTGACCGTGTATCTATCTATCTTATCTAAATATATACGGGGTAGTATCCCTTGGAATCTCTCATTTACTTGATACAGCTATCGTGCTGTGACGGTTCCACCTGAAGACGGAAGCTTGTGTTGCCTCCGAAACGTCGTGATTTTTATTTTATTTTACTTTTATTAATTTAAATGTTTTACCTACGCGACTTTACCGAAAAAACCTAAGAATAGGAATACTTGCAGTCACGAAAGCTTCAAATCTAGAATTAAAACACAAACAGTTGCTGCATGGCGGAGTGATGGACACGTGGAGTTGCAGGCCAGGAGAAGAGAGGGCTTTGCTCGTGAAGTGCCTGCTCGAGGAATGCGAGGCCTGTGTACCCTTCTCGGCCCTCGCACTCGTTCTATATTTAACGCCCCTTCTATATACGTCCGTCTCGCGAGACGTGCGCTGATGATGCTGCTGATGATGCTGATGCTGCTGCTGCAAAAGCGCTTGCTGACTTTTTTCTTCCAGGACGTGTTGCTCATCCGTTTGCCACGAGCTTTTGAAGTCGAGCAGGGCCCCTCTGAGAATTATTTAATTCCCTTACTCCGCTCAATTGATTTCACGAATCACGTGAAAAGAAAACATGTGGTGAAAAAAATTTAAAAGCCTCGCCTCTGGCTCGTGGTGTGCCGCTGAACGGAAGGTGATGGGCAAAGCCTGGTGATATCATCGGCCGCAACCAACTTGGCCATGCTTCGGAGAAGATTTCCCACCTGGTAGCAGAATGTCCGGGAATCCACCAATTTTAAACTAATTGACCACAGCAATCGACTTAATTGTCGAACGGTCCCAGCTCTACTTTGAAGAGTGCAGAGTTAAGTCCCGTATGGTGCTATGTTGATAAAAAAAATAGATGTAACGTTCTCTGCCAATCGATGACACGGACACTTGTGGCGTCTAAGTGGCTATTATTCAAAGTGGTTATGCTGCTCTCGTGCACGAGGACGCTAACTCGTACCCCAATCCCCAGAAGATCCATTCATAATATAAATTCCATCCAGTGGGATTTATTTCATTTCGCAGAGGGCAATGTGGAAAAGCCATTGTTTTACCGTGCTATGCTCCCATGTCAATGCACCCCACCTTCAACCTGCCCTGACCAGCATGGTGAAGTATGGTCAAATAACCCCCGCGGTCCGTAGGTGTTGGGGAGTGAGTTGACAAAAGGGCTGTGCATGCACCTATGTACAAACCCTAATCCTAACCCTGAGCCGAGGAAAATGTACATTCGTAATGTGTCCTGGTGGACTATATCAGTATGTGAACCGGCGCATGAATAATAGCCTTGCGCCATAAGAATGGCACGGATACCAAAAGTTCTAAATAAGAATTAAAAAATTATTTTTGCGTTCGCCAACCTAATGACTCTGGCCAAATTAACGTCATTAACACCCCCCCCCCCCCCATCACGCAACACGTGTGCAAGCGTTTCATGGCGACCAGTTATTGTTGTTTCAGTTCACGCCAGAGGTCGCAACCGGGTACCCGATACCCGTACCCTACCCGATACCCGGCTACCCGTACCCGGTCGGGTACGGGTACGGGTACCCGATTGCGACCCTGGTGCGGCCGGGTACGGGTACGGGTAGGCCGTGAGTAGGGGTCGGCACGGTTTGGCTCAAACCACCAAACCGCGGTTTGAACCGAACCAAATCGGTTTGGTTTGGCTCTGTTTGAACTGGTTCGGTTTGGTTTGGGGCTACGAAAACCGACTCGGTTTGGCTCGGACAGGGTGGAACCGGCTCAAACTAGTTTGGTTGGTTGTAAAGGCCGAGTACCGCAATATCAAGGACATGATGACGGACATTCTCAACCAGCGCTACCCAGCGTTGACGACGGACGCGGCGCCGCGTGGCGGCATTAACATCCTCTTTGACATGGTCTACGCGCCCAACGCTCACGACGGCGCCGCCTCCGAGGTCGACCGCTTCCTGCTTGAGCCGACTCAGGACCTGAGCATGGACGTCGTCGAGTGGTGGAAGCTGTACGGCGGCAAGTACCCGCGCATACGACGCGTGGCCCTCGACTATTTGCCTATCCCGGCGTCGTCCGTGCCCTCCGAGAGAGCAAACTCGGCCGCCAAGCGCTCCTTTCTCGACCGACCAAACCTGCACAAGTGCACGTTCAAGGCCGAGATGTGTGTGCGCTCGTGGGCGCGGATGTTGCCTAGTGTTGGGGTTTCACTGCCACTGAACTACCACACTGCGTTCAAGGACATTGGGCGTGCCAAGCTTGAGGAGATGGCTGTGGACGACATCGTCGTCCAGTACTTGCTAGTGAATCTCAATATGA